GTCTCCCCCAAAGTGAACGTACAACGTTTTGGGGACCAAGCAGAAAATGAAGTTTCTCCAATCTAGAACATGGATGTCGTCTTTTATTTATTCATCCATACTTTCGTACTGTATATACATGGAGATATTGTTTCTGGTAGAGCAGTAGAAGCTCTTGGAAAAAGAACCCAACAGCTGTTCTGACTCACAAAGAGAATAGTAAATGTTGTTCCAAGAGCAGAAACCTGATGAGATACAAATGGCGTGACAGGAACTTGGAAAAGCCGAACTTCTAACATTCCAGATATAATCAGTTTCCAGATCAAATTGTTGTGCGAATACCCATATGTCGTTTTACTTCCAAGGCATGTTTCTGTGTCCATTGATGGTCCCTGAACCCCCAGAGAGCCACCTCCTGAGCAGGGACAAGTAAAACGAAATCCTGTCCCATAAAGTTGTCCCTTTACAAACCAGGCTTTTTGACCTTTGCAATTCAAGATTCTCAGTGCTCCACTGGAGGGGCAGTGTGGTCTAATGGTTACACTACTGAACCAAAACTTTGAGGTGACCTATTACTAGTTCACACAGTTTAGTAATGCAAAATCTGTTCCTTATGACAACTTTACATCCAGCAGAAATGTTGTTTGAATTGTATTTTGGTACTGCAATTCTTTTAGTGTTCATTTTCAGCTTTACTTTAATATTGGATATTAATAGTTCATAATCAGTACCGCAATCTGTTCCTGGCCTTGCTTTGGCTGTGAAAGTACAGCTTCTCCATCTCCTGCTTCCAATTACATAATCTGTTTGATTCCTATATGTATATAGAAATCCATGTAATTATTTCTAGATTAATTCTATATTTACATAGACATCAATGTCATTGGAATTGATTCACACAGAAATCAGTTCCAGTTACACAGTCTATTTGATTTCTATACTGACCATCTGGAGATGTCCATGTGTACAGCCGTCTTGTCCATGTGTACGAGAGCAACTTGATAGCACAAACCAACAACAACAAGTCCACTAGAAACTCTCTGTGTTCAAGGCTTAAGGTGAGCAGTGTGCTGTCACGGGAGAGCCACCGCCTTCTGTTGCACGGTTTTAAATTCCTCTAATTGTGCAGCAGCCTAAAAATGTCTCATCACTTACCATTGAACAGGTCAAACAGCAAACTGACAAACACAACTGCTTTCATCGACAGACGTCCACAAACTGAGAGGAGGAAAAAGTACTCAGCAGAGAGGTGGGGCTCTCTTTGAAATAAGAGTCAGGAAAGTAACGATTGGTTGGTGCTGGTTAGATTGACAGTCAACCCAACCAAGAAAGGTTCTTCCCAGGCCAAACCTACTAAAGGGAGTATGTGAGGTTGCAATAACAACAACAACAACAACAACAACAACAACAACAACAACAACAACAACAACAACAACAACAACAACAACAACAACAACAACACATTCTTCACCACCACTTGAGCTGAGAAAGTATAAGAGGATCTCACAATTATTTTGATTGTAAGAGACTGGTCTTTTCCACTCACTTTGGGTTGTAGTCCCAGAAAACCCCATCTTGACACTCACACGCCATTGATGGGCACATTTTAAGAGCTTCGCACCCACGTAACCTCTCTGTCTTCAGCTATCTTTTCAACGTCTAGGAGAGCTCAAGAGGGTGCAAAAGCATCCAGAGGCGCCCGTAGACGGTGTGAGACGGAGCATGTCAAGACTGAGTCTTCTCAGGGTTGTGTTGCTTGGGAATCCAGCCCCAAAACTCTACCTATTACCAGCACAAGTCAACGTGCACCCTAAGAGGAAGTGGGAAAAGAACTTTAATTGGTCTCGGAGATGCTCCAGAGAAAGTAGGAAAAGCTCGCCCTGAGCACCGAGGGCTGAACGGAACGGTTTAGTCGCATCTCAAGTAGACCCACTCAATCAATGGGATATACGAAATGTTGGCTTAAGAAGTCACATCCATTCATTGGTTTGTTGGTTTATTCAATGCCGTTGCTCTAGGTGATACTCACCATTGGATTTTGCCCAGAAAAACCATCCAGTGATGGGGGGGGGAGGAGCGTGAGTAACTTGGACAGAATTGAAAAGTCTGCTTTTTTTCCCTCCCCCATAGAAGAGATCCCAGCCTTTCAAAATGCCCGTTTTCTCATGGTGTGAAATATTTTGCAAAGGGAAATGACTTGGCGCCGGCCTTACACCTTCTTAGATGCTATTGAGGGACCTCAAAAGGAGAGCTTTTCACAGCCCTGAGAGAAAAACGGGCTTCACGAATAAAGCGCCCTAGAGAAGGACGTCCTGCTGCTGGCGAAGTCGAGGAATAGATTTCGAAGGAAGCAGACAAAGCTTCTCTCGTCTGTTCATTGTGCGGTTTACTCAACAAGGTTTACCTGTTTGCGCCTGCCTGATTTGGTGCCTATGAGCTGGACGTGCAAATTTAATGAGTTTAATGCAAATAAATTGCTCGGTCATCAGATGTATCCGATCAGCTGCCCAGAAGATTACAGAACCAGTACCTTCATCCAAATGGCTACACAGATCCTACCCTTTTAAACTCGCAAAGCTTCTTTGTTTAGAAGAAATGATGCCGTTGGAAAACAGTCAATGGCCTCTCCCTTTCATTTAATTTCAAGATTGTCACAAAAGGCCAGTTTCTCTGCAAACTTTCTGTCAGTTCGTCTCAATCTAGGTGCACAGGATTCAGACGAAACCCAAAGTCTGGGTCAAACGGGGCCATTTCAGACTGGTGTTGGTGCGCCCTGAGGTGCAAATGGCTTCCTTTCTAAGAGCCCGATGCCACGACAAAGACACCCCCCCATTTAAACCGAGCTTTTCGTGTTTAATTTAAATGTGGATGTTTACACAAGGCATGTGCACACACAGATTAATTTTGAAGGAATTTTTTTCTTTTTCTGCATGGCAGAAAACAGGTCCAGATATTTGAATTTCTACATCTTGATCTGTGGTTTGAGACATAGACAAGATGGCAGAACACAAAGTTTGGTCCGGCCATTGTTGTGTTTAGAGGAGAGGGTGTGGAATTGATTTTTTTTTTGACATGTCCTAAAAGAACATCATTAAGAAGTAACATGACTTATTACTTCCTAAAAAAAACTTTTTTTAAAAAAAATTAAATTTTTGTAAATAATTTTTTTCAACACTTCTTTGTTGGGACGAACATGCCTCCTTGATGTAGGTAACTCTGTCTATAGCTTCCTTTCACTTTCTTGGGTTAAAACAGGAGAGACGTGATCCTCATGGTCTTGCACATAAAGCATTTCTCATTCTGAAGCGGGAAAAAAGGGGGCTTTGCTCTCACGACACATCCCAAGTTTTTGAAGAGCGACTTGCCCTCCGGCTTTTCTTTTTCGGTTGCTGTGTTTCAGATCCGATAGGTGCTCTTTCTCTTTTCAAAAAGTCTCCCAGCAAAGAGAATGCCAAATGTTCAAGGCAGGCCACCCCGTTCAGCCCCCAAAAGGATGAGAACAAAGGGGTTTGGGGATGGAGGGAGGAGCAGGCTGTCCGGTTGGAAGGATCCGAGGCCCCGTCTCCTAGGTTTTGATCATTTCTGTGTTTTGGCAGATGATGGAGAGTGACATTTCCGTAGGTGACAAAGAGCCGTCTGTCTCTAGGTACTTGCTCTCTGTTTGCTCAAGACCCTGCGGGGAGTTTGTTATTTATTTATTGGTTGGTTTGTTTAGACTTATAGCCTGCCCATTTAGTGAACAAGCTTTTACTCTGGGCAGCTTCCAAAAAAACCCTGCATGAGTATACAATCAGATTTTTTTTAAAAAAAAATGAACATATAAAAAGAAAAAATGCTCATGAAATCTCTAGTTTTAAACGAGTTTTAAATGACCCATTTTCAACCCTTCCTTCCTTCCTTCCTTCCTTCCTTCCTTCCTTCCTT